TATTTTTGTGTCCGAATTTGTATTGTGGCTATTCCTATTTCATCACATTTGCCACAGCTTCTTGCCTGAGCCAATCCCTTTGCCTCTTTAATCTTTGACCCTTCTTTCATGCTGCCCATCAGCCTGGAATGACTGGCCCTTAAATGTCCAACAGGCAGTATACAGTTCCTCTTTTAAGATCTTTCTTGAAAACTGTCTTCTTCAGAGCAGTATTCCCTCTTTACTCAAATACCACAATAATATAAAGGCATGCCTTCAATCTCCTTCCCGAGGCAATCTGGAAAAGCTCTGTCTTTTCTTCATCCAGTTTTTGTTTGAAATATGCTTCTTTGCCTACAAATTCTACTCTGCCCCTTAAAGAAGAGAGATGAAAGAAAACATGGGAAAGCCAGACAATAAACCCTCAAAGCAGAAATGTGGAATTAGGAAGATGAGCCCTTGGTCTCCTTGCTGGGATTCTTTTCCATCTGCTGCATTCAAAATTGGTACTACTGTAGTTCTGTCACTGGCTCACTGCGTGACCATGAAAACATTGCGTTATCTTGAATTTCTTAGGTGCTTTTCTTGTGAAGATGGAGGTTTCTAAAATGCTATGAAAACCAAGAAAGAAGAGTCTCTGATTTCAATGTCACGCAAGTCTGCATTATCCTATTTATGACTGGTTTCGTTTGTGAAATGGGCACAATCTTATTCTTCCCGAAGTTGTTGCCTTTCTGATTATTGTTACGCTTGCCACTTCCCCTCATTTCTCCTGGGGAGTGAATGTATTGTGTTATGACACTGGAGCATACTGTACTTTTTAACACGCCCTATTTTGAAATAAAATAATGTTGTAAAGTCACGATTCTGTAATGGCCCAGAAAAGTATGTCAGGATGTTCCATTGCCCTTCCAGCCTAGTTTGCTCTGTGAAACACCCACCCAGCTGGGGCCCCCTCTTGGGAGAAAGAAATTTTCCTTTTAGTCTTGAGAGAACCTAGGTGTCAGATACTGTCTGAAAGGAGCTGATTTCATTTTTTGATGAAAACATTAACTGGGCTGCTTTGGGCAGAACACTTGTGTTTTCCTCCTTAATGCTACTAGAAATTTTGAAGCTTGAGGTGAAGAAATAAAGGAAGCTTGATATTGTCAGTTGAAAAGGTGAAGATTAGGAGCATTCCTTGTAGAGCCTCTTTGCCTGGTTTGCGTTAAACACCGTCAATACAGACCAAAATCTGCAGGAAGAAATCTGATCAATTTGGAATTGTAGTAGAGGAGCTAACAAGGAACAAATTAAAATCCTGTATTCCCACTTGATTTGCTTCTTCCCCTCAGGGCTCATCCAAAGCCTTTTGAGGTTTGCTGCAGATTGAATGAAAACCTACTGGATGTCAGTGATGAGGAGTAATGGGATTAAGTAAGGAAAGTTTTGCTTAAATAGTAGGAAAAACCTTTACAACCATAAGATCAATCGGGCCACAGAGCTGGCTGCCAAGAGGTGTGGTGAAATCTTTTTCACAGGAAATGTTCAAGTGAAGACTTGAACTGCAGCCATTTGCAAAGGGTTGGAGATATTGGAGTTGGGCCACAGTGTGTGGGTGTATACTCTGATCTTTAGGAATTGCATGAACTTATAGTGTTTCCTTCTAGAACTGAACAATTGCATGAAGATGTGCGGCTCTTCAATTAGCTTAGTGCAACCCAGAGTTTTCATTCTACTTGCTCTGAATTTGGCTTGTCCCCACTGCATTCTGCTCCTAGTCCGGCCTTCTGAAATAGGGATAGAAAACTTTTGTTAACATCCTTCCACCTGTCTGGATGCTGTATCTGGAATGTTGTTGCACAGACTCTAGCATGTTTGTACAAGTCTGTAAGAATATATGGTAGGAATGAGGCCTCTGAAGAAAACCAACAAAGCCAACCTTGGTTTTGATGCTTCTGTAGTGATGGCTACTTCATTTATTCCAAGAAGACACATGCGCTTTGGATTTCAACGTCAAATCTGACAGTAACAGAACAATTCTTTCTCTTATTTCACTTCTGCTTATTTGTCAATTTGAAGAGTTCGTTTTGCTGGTGAATTTAAAGCCACCCTCTCCTACTGTCATTGTCAGAGATAGGATGCTTTACTGGACTGACCATCAGTCTGACTCAGTATTTCACGTATTTTTACTTAAGTCTTAGTCTCATTTCTAACAAAATGGAGGAAGGGTTGATTTTTGGCCATAATATAACTACTAGGATGGAAGTTCAAATGCCAGGAGGAGGGACATTTGCAAGTGTCAGCTGGGAAATATAGAAGATACAAGAAAATTGAATTAATGAAATAAAGTTTGCTTGCTTGATAGTGAACATACACTTCCACTAACAGCTGTTCTTATATCTGAGCATAGTATGATAGATCAAAAGATTTTTACACAAAAACAAGCAAGCGGCTTGTTTGAAGCCAGGAGGGTATTCTTTCCCCTGGGGAATGCACAGCAGGATGTTCCCCCTGTTTCTTGAAAACAAATCTCCATGGTGATGTCTATTTTCTAGAGGAAACAACATAGACCTATGAATCACAGACTGGTTTGGGTTGGAAGGGACTTTAAAGACCATCTAGTTCCAACCCCCCTGCCATGGGCAGGGACACCTTTCACTAGACCAGGTTGCTCAAAACCCCATCCAGCCTGGCCTTGAAGACAGCAGGCGCAGCCCAGAAAAAACTCCTGGTCTTTTTGCCTGACTTTCCCTGTGTTGGGACACGCATTGCTCATGGGCTTGGAGGAGGTGATCCTTGAATATTAACCAGCTTTCTTGGGCCCCTCTACCATCCAGGGTTTCATCCCATGGAACTCTGCCAATCAGTTCCCTGAAGAGGCCAAAGTCTGCTGTCATGAAGTCCAGGGCAGTGAGCTTGCTGTGCACCTTCCCCACTGCCCTAAGGATGTTGAACAACGCTGTTTCATGGTCACCGCAGCCAAGGCTGCTCTTGAGCTTCACATTCCCCACCAGCCCCTCCGTGTTGGTGAGAACAAGGTCCAGCATGGCACCCCTCCTCATTGGCTCCTCTATCGCTGGAGAAGGAAGTAGTCATCGGCGCATCCCAGGAAACTCCTGGATTGCTTGTGCCCTGCTGTGTTGTGCCTCCACAGATATCTGGGTGGTTGAAGTCCCACATGAACCTGTGAATGTCAGGCAACTCCTGTCTGTCAGTAGAGGGCCTCATCCACTTTGTGTTCCTGGTCAGGTGGCCTATAGTAGACCCCCACTATAATATCATCTGTCCTTGCCCTCTCATTAATCCTGTCCCATAAGCTCTCAGTCAGCTCCTCATATATCCCCAGGTGCAGCTCCATGCACTGAAGCTGGTCACTGACATAGAGGGCGACAGCACCTCCTTATCTCCCCAGCCTGTCCTTGCTAAAGATCCTGTATCCTTCCATTCCAACACTGCCATCATAGGAGCCATCCCAGCGTGTCTCTGTGATGCCAGAAATACATAGTTCTGCAGGCGTGTGCATGTCTCTAACTCCTCTTGTTTATTCCCCATGCTACATGCATTTGCATAGAGGCATTTAGGTTGTGCCCCCAGTGAAGCTGATTTACTGGCTGGAGTGGCTGGAATTAGTGCTGCTCTTCAGTTGCAATCCCTGCTGACCTGCGATCCTTCTCCGTGCTCTGGGCATCTATTGCTGGTACTGGGATCAAATTGGTAGGAGTGGGATGGATTGAGGTTCCCCTCCCCTGGCAACTATGAAACTGATGACTACTAGAGGAAAAGTTTTGCCATGAATGAACACTTTCAGTAGCCAGGGTTGGAAGACTGACTAAAGGAAAATGAACTTCCTTACTCAGCATTATAGCTTGAAAATATTATTTAGATGGTCAGCTGAGCTGAACACTAAAATATTATTTTTGTCTTCATTCTCCCTTTATAGCCAAAACTTCTTGGGAAGAGTAAAAAGAATTCTGTCTTTTTTAGTGCATCAGCAAAACAAATATATGAGTGTGGGGCATTTGTTATTAACACTGGAGCAAGACACATACAGTTGAACTGACAGTTCTCAAGTGGAATTTGTTACTCTTCCAGTAAGGAAAATCATCTTTGGAATTATGAACTGACGAGAGATCCTGAAGAGGAGAATCACAGTCATCAGCACAAAGCTAAAAGTAGAGGTGCTTTCATGGCTAATCAGTTTCTACATATAATGTCTTCAGTAGGTAGTCAAGTGGAATTAATCCTAAACAGGCTGCGTAAGGCACAGGCTACCACCGTTGTTTGTCTAGATGTTCAAGAGATTATGGTGAAATATCTGTGCATATGCAGACATTAGACCAAGAGCATTTCTGTTCTAAATACCCCCTGAATACTAAATACTCCTGCTATTTGGTTAATTGGGAGACATGCAGTCTCTGGGTACACCTTACAGCAGCCTTTCAATATATATAGGGAGCTTGTAAGAAAGACAGAGGAAGACGTTTTACCAGGGCCTGTAGTGACAGAGCAAGGATTAACGGGTTTAAACTGAGAGACTAGGTTGAGATTGGATAAAGGGAACAGACTTTTTTACAATGGGGTTGATGAGACACTGGAACAGGTTGCCCAGAGAAGCTGTAGATGCCCCATCCCTGGAATTGTTCAAGGTCATACTGGAATGGGCTTCAAGCAACCTGGTCTAGTTGAAAGATATCACTGCCCATTGCAGGAGGGTTGGACTAGGTGATCCTTAACAGTCGCTTCAAACCCAAATCATTCTTTGATTCCTTAACGAGGACACTGGAGCTTAACTGCACTTCCTGTGGGGCTGTGTAATTCACCTTTAAGCTTTGGAAATGTATGCACAGTGGAATATTCCTGTTATATGCAAATATGCATTTGCTTATTGTGGTGTGCCCAAAATTACTAATAACCTTGTCTGAAAAGAATATTTCTTTAAGCAACTACATAGCAAATGAAGACTGTGTGCATATCCCATGAACAGAACGGTGCAAGAAATTGGATTATATCCTCTAACCCTGCCTGCTATTCTGTTTCAGACACTGTTGAACGAACTAGACCGAAGCATGGGGCGATACCGAGATGAAGTAAATCTCAAAACAGCCATCATGTCCTTTATCAATGCTGTTCTGAATGCTGGTGCTGGTGAGGTGAGTCACTGTCCTGGAAATTCCTTCTAAAATCTGTGTTTAACTTAATTTACCTTGGAAATGGTGAGTCAGTTAAGTCACAAATTTGGTGTTATTGGGTTGATATAGTTTATGGAAAATAATGTTTAATTGTTAATATCAGTCTTAGAATGTCTTGCATATTAGTTTATTCCCAGGCTCTTCTAATATGACATAGACTACTTGCACTGAAATGATTGCTTCTGGGGTTTTTGTTGGGGTTTTTTTGCCTCTTGATTTCAACCTTTTAGAAAACACTTTGGTTTACCTTCAGAAACAGTTTGAAATGTTTTGACTCAAAGCCAAACTCAAAATGTTTACATTTAAAAATTCAAAGGGAGACATTTCAGAAAAGACTGTTTGTTGGTTTTCTTCATTAAGAAGACTTCTTCTGAGTCTGGAGGATAGTTTAAACTGATTTTGTTTCATTAAAAGTGTTACTTTTGTTACACTGGCTTTTCTTTCTTTGGTTAAACCACAACAGACAACAAGAGCTCTGTCTGGCAATGTATTTGTCTCTAACTGCGGCAGTCCTGTAATGTCCCACTGAATAGGTGTCAAGTTTGCCAGAGTATATGGCGGGTTTATGGCAAATAAACAGCTAGCCTACAGTTCTGTCCATCTCTGAGAAGGACATGGACCTCTAATGCACTAGCAGGACAAATACTAATAACTTTTGTTCTTCATGGAACAACATGGAATGTGCTGTCCTTCTGATTGGATATGCAGAACTCATTGTAGGTAAATGTGGACTCCTCTGTGAAACAGAGGCAAAGGCATTAATTTCTTTTCACTTACTTTACTGGAATTAATCATCCTGTGAATTTGGCGTCAGGATAGAGGATATTAAAGAGGGAAGAACTGAGGTTTTAAGTAATTTTTTTTTAAATGTGATTAAAAGCCTTTGGAATGCAATAGCTTGGTTTTCCCCCACTTGTTAAGGACAATTTGGAGTTCCGATTACACCTACGATATGAGTTTCTCATGCTGGGAATTCAACCTGTCATCGACAAGCTAAGAGGACATGAGAATGCCACGCTGGACAGGTAAGGCATGTTTTCTGAGAACAGTTATTGATCAACAGAAAGAGTTCTTAGAAACCATTTGGGTTTCAGATCTAAGCACAAAGCTGTCTCTTCCTGAAAGTGACTCCCTTTAAAGACAAAAAGGAGATTTGTCCTTAAAATTAAAATCAGCAGATAAAGTAGGAAACGCACATACTGAATTGAGTGGCTGTGGCAAGGAGTTCCTGCACTGCTGTTGTTCTAACCTTGGGATGCCAATTAGAATGAAAAAAAAAGTTCTAATTCTTTTCTCTTGTAGCAAAATTGGAACAAAAGCCTGTCCTGGTAGGAGGGAGGGAAGCCAGTAGTTCGTTGACTTCATTGAGACTGAGTATGTGTGGTCAAAATGCAGGTTCTGAGTTTCCAAGGTTTTTCTGTAGGCTCAGTCTTTTTTGTGATCTTGCTTGTATTGCAACCTCCCGAACAGCAGCACTGGCACAGCTATGAGAGAAGAGGCACCTGTGGTGGGTGAAGGGGTAGAGATGCGAAGGGGGCAAGAGAGAAGAATGAGGAGCATCTTCAAACAGCCCTGCTGCTGTGCAAAATGTAATACTGAATGGCACCTTCAAATTACTGTGTTAAAAGTTATACGGATAATAAACACTTTCTCCACTAGCAATTCCATATTTTGCCAAAGTAGTTGAAGCTGCTGATGACCTTAAACTAAACCCTTCACAAAGCCACATGTTGAAATAAACTTGGAGTAAATAATCTGAACAATGTGACTGAGACACTTGAAGAAGCTAGAAGACTGATGAACCAATGAGAGGCCTGGTAAAATCCATGTGCTTAACAAAATCAAGTATTTTAAGGTGTGAGAAGAGTCTACTTTCTCCTGTGACCACGTTAATCTTTATGGAGTGGCGTTGACATGCTGATGTGCTGCTGTCCCTTATTGTCTGCTACTCCGAGCGCCTTCCTACAGAGCAGGGCTGATTTGTAGGTATCTGATATATGGGATTCCCTAGATAGAAGTGTCAAGTTGCCAAAGCACATGGTGAAAAACTTACGGATCAGGCCTATGCCTGCAGCTGTGAAGGCACCGTTTTGTCAAACATCCACTGTCAGGAGCTGCTATAAAGTGATAGAGCTGTGTAATGTGCCTGAGATTCTGCATAAGCAACAGGTTAGCATCTGTCATAAAGTGTAGCCTCCTGTCTTTGAGCAGGTGGAGGCATATACCTGTGTATTAATGCCACAGGGAAGCGTTGCAGACAGTTGTATGTGACTGCAGTTTGCACAGCTGGAACCCGTAATGTTACTTTTGATCTACAACATTAGAGCCAAGGAGAGATTCTGTCCTATAGACAGTTGTGTTCCTTTGGTCTGTAACCATGAATGTTTAGGAGGGGCTTAGGGACACTTGGATTTTACAAATTATAGTCATGAGAGTGATAACAGAGGTTTGAGAGGATCCCAGATGCCTGGTTTACATAAACTATATGCCAGGTCTATACAGGGTGATGTGCCACAGCCTTTCTCCACGTCATCTGCTGTGCTCTGGTCTCATGCAAGAGAAGTCCCGGTGCCATGGCCTAACATGTCTCTCACCAGGTCCCCCGTGCCCCAACAGAGGCATGCTGTTGTGCTCATCAATAGGCATATGTATAGACAGTTGTGAGCTCTGCTGTTTAACTATCCACTGAATGCATCTCTGCCCCACTGTGTAAAAGAAACAACTTGTTAATGGTCTAATGTCTAGTTACCAAGAATGGCGTGGACTTCTTAGGAATGTATTATCACTGCAGGCCTTGCATTCATATCACTTTCCTATTTTGTGTTTATTTTTAGCAGCCTTACCTGAACAGTGACTTAGCACAAGAATGAAAGAGCATGTATACCTTAGCCAGACATTGCTTTTGGCCTGTCACTGAGCCCCATGAGTTGCCTTGCATCCCTATCCTAGCAGTTCATGTAAGAAAGGCTTACCAATTTCCAAGGGTTCGAGCTGGAAATGAGGTGTTGTTGCTTTTGTAGTGACACGCTTCATGCAAGTCTGCATTAAGCCATGAACATTGGCAGCTTTTGTTTGTTTTGTTTTTCTGTTTTCTCTTAGGCACTTAGATTTCTTTGAGATGGTCAGAAATGAAGATGACCTGGAACTTGCCAAGCGGTTTGACCTGGTAAGCTTTTCTTTGGAGGACCTGAACTTGCCAAATCTGAACATCCACTTTGGATGCTTGGTGCCACTTCTCTTTGTATTCCCTGAAAACAAATTGACTCTGATACTGCAAGTGGCTGGTGCTCTTGTTTTCACCACTTCTCATTTAGCAAGTAGGGGTCTGTGATGTGTGAACAATGAAGACAATGATCACAGACAGGGTTTCTGCCAAGTATCTTTGACAAAGACTTCTTTTTGTTTGGCTGAAGTTTCCGGAGTGGAGGAGGTTCTCAGCCTTGCTCTCTTGTTCTCAGTCCTGATGATCCAGATGCGTTCTAGTTTCAAACGTCTTTACAGGACTGTGGGTGAGGCTTAGGCTCTTCTCTCATACTTTTCCAAACATCACAGGAAACTCTCCTGAAGACTGTCACCTGTGGACAGAATTCGTATTTTAGATTGTGTGGATTTTAGAGAAGCATACAACAAGGACAGTTTCCATAACCTCTAGCAATAATAAGAGGCTGTAGAGTCCAGAATAGTTAGAGTTTCCTCTTTCTTCATGACCAGTTCTGTGCTGCACACCAATACAGAACCACGAGCCCTTTCCTGCTTAGCTTCTATTTGTGCCACCACTTTCTAGGACCCAAATGTTTTGCTTGCTCCAGGACAGCTTTTGGTGTCTTTGCCTGCCTTCCACCTTTCTATTCCTTTACTTTGGGGATCTTTTCCATATGGAGTGTGGATGGAAATGTTGGTCTTGAAGACCCATGTGCCTTTTCCTCACTGGAACTTGCAGCTGGATGTTGCAGGAGGCATGGCAGAGGTTCAGTTGCTGGCAATTTGCCTGTCTGTGTTGATCAGATCTTTCACAGTTAGTCAGGCTTTCACTGTGCGTAGTTTCTCTCTTACTTGTTTTTCCCTACCATCTCTCACTTCAGATCCACATTGATACAAAAAGTGCTTCTCAGATGTTTGAGTTGATCAAGAAGAGATTGAAGCACACAGATGCCTATCCCTATTTGTTATCCATCCTCCAGCACTGCTTGCAGATGCCATGTGAGTACATCACAGTTTTCCGGAGCAAGAGGTATTGAAGAACAAGGTGAAGCTTTGGTGTAGGTATGGGGTCACAGATAGCAGGTCACATACTGCCCCTTTCTTCCATTCAGAACTTGGCAGTGGCTAAGGGACTTGGTATCTGACACTGACTCCATCCAGCAGATTTTTGTCACAATACTTAAAGCAGCAGCTTGACCTCTCTGCACTTGCAAGTAAAATTAAGTAGCTGAGACATTCCAGTTAGTCACTGACAGAGCTTTTAAAGATGTTAAATTAGAAGTTTTAAATAAGAAAGAGCCCTTGTGCTCTAGATCAGGGAATTTCCAGAAATAGATAGAATTCTGAATACTAACAAAATGCACTGAGGAATTTTTCTGGTGAAACAATACAGTACTGAAAGCTGTTCTGTCACTGGGAAATTCCACAGTAAGTCCTCAGGCTGCTATCTCATGGCAGTGCATCAGTGGAGAGCTCCTGAACTCAGTCTGAAAAATAACATTGGCATTTGTTTTCATGAGAAGTGACAGGAATCTTCTCATTACTGTAATTAAATAATTCAGTTCTGCTTCCAGAGTGCAGCACCTGAGCATAGCAAGATCACTGAAGAACTCTCTGCCTTGATCCTGTTAGGTATCAGGTGCTGGTCTTCATCACTTTCAGCCATACTTGAGCAGTCAAACTGAGAAGGGAACATGAGAGAGATGTACTGTGGTGTGCTTTTTCGGAAAGGAATGTGGTGTGTTTTCAAGCACTCATCAGATGGAAGTACTGCCATGCACAAGTTCAAGCAGGTGTTTGTCCCAGCGGTCTCCCTGACGTTAATCTTCAAGACAGTACTTGAACTTTAGGTGTTGACCTGAATTTTTGGTGACAGAAGGGCTCAGTCCTGCTAGGCCAGGACAGGATTGTAATGGAGCAGTTTTTTAAAGAATCTAAAGGTCTAGGTTATGTAACACAGGGAGCTGAGGCGAACTTTATGTTGCTCTAGCTCTTCTGTTTGATATCCACGGGATCAGACCATTTGGTTCAATTTCTGTTCTTTTTCACCACACTTTTTGATCATGTTTGTATGAATTTTTCATGCCAGTTGAGTTTCACTGACCTACAGATAACCGAGTGTGCAGATATAACATCTGGATCTTCTTATAGTGCCTGGTCACGATGTTACCTGGGTACCGAAAAGGCCCCCCACTATCAAGCCCCAGAAAATACTGAGTAACAGCTCTCACAAAGGAACACTTCTGCAGACGTTTAAAGTGCAAGTAAGAGCTAATCTGTCAGAAGGGCTGCACAGCCTGATTGTGCAAATGCCATGGGCACAGAGTTGCCCATGCCTGTTAGGCGCTGTTCCATAAATAATCTGCTAGCAATGGTTCAGGGCTAGGCTTTGTGTTCTATAATTTACTACATGCAGGGTTGAGATGGAAAGTGACAAGGAAAAGAGTGCCAGTCTGTTGTCAGGTCTGTGCACTTTGGCATGGAAATGGAAGTTCTGAATGATTGGTCTTTTTTCATACAGATAAGAGGAATGGAGGAACATTCCAGCAGTGGCAGCTGTTGGACAGAATACTCCAACAGATTGTTCTTCAGGATGAACGAGGAGATGATCCGGATACAGCTCCCTTGGAAAACTTCAATGTCAAAAATATAATTAAAATGTAAGCTGCATTATTATTGTTTATTTCTGTTGTGTAGGTATATAATAAGTATGCTGGTGCTCAGGAAATAAAATATCATATCTGAGGAGTTTTTAACTTACAGCTTCTCTTTGTCTTGTTAATCTTCTCGTTTCTTTCTAGTGACAACTATACAGTACTTTCTAGCAAAATCCTTGCCTTCGGCTTCTAGTTTCTGTTAAATATTAAGCTGGTTAGAAGAGCAGAAAAAAATACACGTGCTTTCATAAAAAGGCTTCCTCAAGTGCCTTTTTTCATTCAGAATGTTGATGAAAGCTTTCATTGATATTAAAAAAAAAAAAAAAAGTGGTCATCTCTATTTAGATCTCATTCCTCACTAATGAGCACATAGTTTAGAAGATTTCAAATAGTGGAAAGCAGCCCCCACCTAGCACACAAAACCTTTTACCTCTTCATAAAATGTCTGCATGCCCTCACCCACAGACTTGGCTGAGGGCACTACCATTATTTTTTCCCATAGGATGCATCATTTGAGAAGTCTAGCTACATGAGCTGGCTCTCATCTCAGCTTTCCTGTTCTCAGTCCTTTTTTAGCCAAACTTTTGGACTCTTCATCCCATCCATCTGCCTCTGCAGGTAATTCATGGCCCATTACCCTTCTGAATTATCCACTGAAAAGAGCATTTTATAGAACATAAGCCTCATATGAAACCAAATTCTCCTGTACTAAAAATCTTACAGTCCCTCCTGTTACAGGCATGAGCCAAAATCAAAACTGATTTCTCGTCATGGAAAAATACACTGGTGTTGATCTCTTTTTGTCTGCCTGGAAAGCAGACTTCATTGCAGATCTCGTGCCTGATCTTCCCTTTCTACTTTTGTAGCTATGCCTCATTCTGCATATCTAATCAATCCCCAGCATGCCCTGCATACTTTCTGTCAGTAATAGGAAATAGCTGTGCCAGTATGAGATATGAGCATTGCCTTGTTACTGATATATTACCCAATAGATAAGCATCCTCCCTCCTTGTAAGAAAGAAAAAATAGAACCAAGGAAAGTAGAAAAAGAGATGGCAATCTGGTCCCGTATTAAGGGTGGGGTAATTTGTAACCCACAGCAGCTGTGATTATTTTAGTGATGACTTCTCTCTTTTAAAATTAGGAGGCTTAGGACTTTGAGTGTATTACCTGTAGTACCAGGATTTTTTCCCCAGGCATTCTTTTATCCCTTTTCAGGACTTTGAGCAACAAGCCATCACATTTATAATAATAACTGTTGACTACAGGATCTGGAACCAGGGTGATCACTGGTATGGACCTGTATAAACATGTAAATTCACCAGGTTGCCTTTTGCTGATCACTACACATAATGGTCACTTGCTTTTCAGCCTGGGTAAATCAGAACAAATTTATATGATCTGATTTCATCTTTCAGGCTGGTGAACGAAAATGAAGTCAAGCAGTGGAGGGACCAGGCAGAGAAGTTTCGTAAAGGTGAGTGCGTCCTCTGTGCTTGGGGAGGCAAAAGAGGAGGCAAGACTGATCCTGATTCAGTCACAGAGCAGCGAGCAGCCGAGCTCGTCACAACTTTAGTGGACAAACCCTGCTTTGTTCCCTCCAGTATATTTTGTCTTATGGTGATCAGTTTGTGTTTCATAGGATGGGGATTCCCTCAGTCTTCACATGAAGTGATTTTACAGTCTAAGTGAAACTTGGCATTGCTGTCTTGATCACTAAAGATCACTGTCAAGACGGTCAGACTCTTTTCTTTTTCCTACTCTCATTATACATCTCCAGTTGAACTGACAGATTTGACAACTTTATTTCAGCATAACTTGTATCTCTTCAGGGACTGTTCATGAGCTTTATTTCATCAGCCCCTCTTGCCTGTTCACCCTAGATCATGCAGAGCTGATGAGCAGGCTAGAGAAGAAGGAGCGGGAATGTGAGACAAAGACCCAGGAGAAAGATGAAATGATGAAGACACTGAACAAAATGAAGGACAAGCTGCAGAAGGAATCCTTGGAGCTTCGCCAGACCCGGGACCAGATGAATGACCTGGTGGCTCAACTTAATGAGTTCTCGGTATGAGACTGGGACTCTTCCCATCCTTGTTTAAAGCCTGCTAACTAGTGAATGATGAACAAAAGCACATTATGAGTGGGCCACTGCCAACCTCATGG